TTTCTGATGATAAGACCCAAGTTTGAATCTTACCTTTGGTCAATTTGTCAGGAAGGCTTGTGTCAACAAGTGTTATGGTTTTCAGGCAATTTCCAAAGGTGTCACATGCTCAAATTGTCTCCTCAGGTCAATGACATCAATGTTACCTTCCTGACAAATCAATCATGGTGAGATTCAAACACAAGCCGCACAGTTCAAAAGTGAACATTCTCACCACTACCCACTACTTGATGCTATCAATCTGAGGGGTGACAATCCCAGCTTGCGGCACCTTTGGAAAGTGCCTGAAAACCATACCACAGGTTGACCCGAGCCTCATGAGTGAAATCAGGTAGACAGAACTCTATGGGTAACCCTCGATAGTTGTGCTAGCACAAAGTCACAAGTCATCGTGGCCGAGGGGTTGAGCATGATGGACTTATTCTGAATTGATCATCACCTATAACACTACAAATAACAACCACATATGATTAGTCTTTGAATCCTTTACATTTTAATATAGTGACCCTTCTTCTCAATAATAGCCAGTAATTTATTATCTATTGATTTTGTTAATTTATTTTTGCTTCAGCAGGTTCATTTTCCAACATGAGAGTTTTAATTGCTTCCCATAGGCCTGTTTTGCTGTTATTTTGTTTGCCACCTCCATATAATTTCATCTTGGCTATTGACTATAGATTTTCAATTGGATTCAAATCAGGACTTGATGGTGGCCATTCCATTATCTTCTCTGCTATAAATCTTTTTTACTCAAAGAATTAATGGGTAAGCTTAAATACATGAGAAGGAGCATTGTCAGGTATAAATACACTTCACTTTGCGAGAATGGAACTTGTATCATACAAAGAAAGTCTTAGTCATAAAATCGCAATAGTGAGCACTATTCAGTTTAATTCCTACATCAACTTTGAATTGTCCAATAATGGTTTGGTTGACAATTCCAGCCTCTATCATAATACTGCTGCCTCCTTGCCTTTTTTTAGCCACAGGCACATCTGACTTGGATAAAATACACCCTTTGACTCATCTGTCAGGTCCATCAAATGTTACTCGAGATCCATCCATGAAAATTACTTTAGAAAAGTCAATTTTCATATATTTCTTGGCCCAATTTTGACGCTTTAAAATATTTGCTTTAGTGATAGAAGGTTGCCTAGATTTTTTTTTTTTTTTTTTTTACAGATTCCAGTTCACAAAGTATTCTTGTTCACCTCCATGACAATGCAAAGCCACATACAGCAAGAATAACGCAGGAAAAGAATTATGTGACTAGTTTGGTCTCTTCTAGCCTGCCTGCCATATTTCACTTGACCTTGCACCAAATGATTAACTTTTTTGATCACTGCAAAACATTTTGATGGGGAAGACTTTCTCTAATGAAATAGTTTGTTTTCAAATCAAAACATGTAAAATTTTCCTCTAAATGCATCAAGAAGCTACCTAATAAGCACCAACCAGTCATTTAAAATAATGGTTAATAATTAATTGAATAAAATCTATTTGTACTTTGTTGTTTAAGGAATAAAACGAACAAAAAAAACAGAAATTATTAATGACTTAACCTTTTATTTAATATATATATATATATATATATATATATATATATATATATATATATATATATATATATATATATATATAGTCATCCACAGACAGACAGTTTTGCTATATCACAGCTCCTCAGTGTGGCTAGGCATCCAATTGCTTCAAGCTGAGATTGAAATCCGATTGATTTGACTTCAGTCAGGTATCTTACCCCTAGGCCATCATTGCACAGCAGAAAGGAATGAAATTTTAATGTTTTTTTTTTCTATACGAAATACGCCATTGACTCGGAGAGCTCAATTCATACTTGAAGAGTAATGCTTGTTAGCAGTAGGAGCCACCGTTTTTAAAATCCCCTTTTCTTTGAAAGCTCAGCCATTATGAAATGGACTAAGTTCGACAATTGTTTTAATATATTTTCTGTTTATACATTATTTTTATAGATACAAATATTTAAGTAAATTTTTTGTTTATAATAAGGCCAGTAAATGTAGTTAATAATGTTTATTATAAACAGAGCATTTACTTAAATATTTATATATATAAAAATAACATATATGGCCTGATAATTGTATTTTGCATGAAACAGACTGTCACCTTTGAGTGTTGACTTCAATGTTTACTTTTATATTTTTATATACTCTATGCCTGATATTGAGCTCTTTAACCCATATATATAGTATACCTTAAAACTATACTTTATCATATATATATATATATATATATATATATATATAAGGGAGTAATGTTCTTGTCCTCTTCTCTCTGTCTATATTTGTAATTGATGAATATTTAACTGTATGTAGCTAGATATCTGTACTCTCTCTAAATCTTGAGCCATTTGTGTATTTTTGCTGTTATATGTATGGTATATTTTGGTAGCTGTGTATCAAGGCAGATACAACCACCAGTTGAGATTATTTATCATTTAAAAGTGTTTATTTTTTTATTCAGAATCTAAGAGTTCCATGATGCCATTTCTGTTTGCTTATCTGATTGTTGTTTAGCCTGAGAAATGGTTCCCACGTGGTTCCCCATTTGATTTCGTTGAATTTTATTTTTTTTAATTTCCTCTTCCTGTCAACAGCTTACACTTATATATCTTGTTATATTTGTTTATCGGGAAAAGTTCCCATTCCCATTAACTTTTTGTCTGGTTTATTTCATTCTTATAAACAGTTACTTCTTTTAGTACCAAACATCTCTTCATTTTTCTACAGATAATGTTTCTGTATAGATTTCAGTTGCATAGAATTCCCTTGATGCTTTTTACATGTGATTCAGTTGCATAGATATCCCTCTAAACTTTCAGCATGGGATTTGGTTGCATAAAATTCCCCCTACACTTTCTGCGTGAGATTTAATTTCATTGAATTACCCCTATACTTTCTGTATGAAATTCGGCTGCATAGAATTCCCTCTTTGCTTTTTGTGTGAGATTCAATTGCATCAAAATATCCCTACACTTTCAGTGTGAGTTTCGGTTGTATATAATTAATATCTGGTTTTCCATATTTAATCAAACATTTTCTTTCATTCATGGACTAAACAAAAACTCAAGTCTAGTAACTTGTGTTTAGTTCCTAAAAAAGCATTTCTGCATTCCTCTAAGAGTGGTAGGGTCCCTTGCTGCAGGCAATAGATCATTTCTGGAAGTCCCAGCTACATAATTTGTGGATATCCCACCATAAAATATAACTATGGATGAATGGTCTCTTTAATGCTTAAAAACGTTGACTTTGTTGCATAGTCAGTCAGTTAAGTGCCACATGTGATATACACTTTGACAGTCATGTATCTTTTGATACATGACTAACAAGGCAGATTTTTTTTTCCTGATATAGATTGCCATTTCTTTTTATAGTAGACTGGTTACCAACCAAAGCTAAATAACCCATTCTGTCCTGCTATTCAACCCATAGCTAAGAAGGAGAAGAGATGGATTCATACCTTTCCCAAGGGTATTTGTGTGCAACTGAATATAACAAACTCGACTGACTTGAACTCAGTTCTCCAAGTTGCCATTCTGAGCCAATATCCATTACACCACACTGCATATCACATTGTTGCATAAGATGTTAAGTAATTATCAACTTATGGTTATTTTAACATATAACCTCAAAAAATGTCTCTCGTAGTCTTGCTTCAATCCCTTTTGGAATAGGTAATTTCTAATTCTTTAGGTTTTCTTATGTATCTACTTGCTTTCTCTCTCTCTCTCTCTCTATACACTGTCCTTTTCCTTTTTTAAATAAGTATCAGCTTTAATTGTGCTTAGTGTAAAAATATTTGGGGAACTTTTTTTACCTTTTCTCTTTTTTTTTTTTTTTTTTTTTTACATAAACCAACATCACTGTGTCTTTATCTTAGATATCATGATATCTTTTTTCATTAAACTTTTGCTGCTTACCTTTGTATGTTAGTTTTTTCCGTTAATAGGAAATGTTGCCTAAGAGTTCTCTGATTTTGAAAAACATTTTAAACTGACATTTGCCGATTACATTTATTAGCAGTACATACTGGAATTCTGTATTACAAGTCTAAGGCAATGACTTCAAAGAATTGAAAAAAACAAAAAAAAAATTGTTGGAAGAGAGAATATTTTTTATATTCAAATTTCCAAAGTTTTGTGGCATACCTTAGACATGACTTTAAACCCTTTACAATTTTCTCATACTGTATATCATTTCATTTTTCTTTGTAGTTTTTTTTTCAAAATCCCATTCTTCATGATTATTTATTAAAACTGGATAAAGTGAAAGTTTTCTCTCTCTCTTTCTCTGATGTACTTTCAGGAGGTAGCCAAATATTGCTCTCCACAGCTTCCTTTCCTTTAATATCTGTTAAATGTGCATTGCTATTATTGCTGTTTGGAAATATATTGGAATGATTTCCTGTTGCTGCCTTTTTTTAAATCTTTAGCATTCAACAAGCCTATACCTGCCCTGTAAATATTTGTTCTCAATGTTCAACCTGCCGTAACAGGCCCCATGTATACTTTGCTGTAATATATGACAACATTGTCACAAATAATGCAAGAAGTTAAACAATGATACTTTGAGAGCTCATATATTTATGGGGCAGGTTTGAGCATTTTGAATGCTGAACGGTTAATTCTGAGTTGTCCTTAAATTAGCTGATAATGAAAACTGAAGACCCCAATCTTTTCTGTTATTTAACCCATAACTAGATGTTCTTAAATAAGACACTGTGTAATTTTGATGGGAACTTTTACAATTTTAATAGATTATTCATCTAAGAGATTTTTAGAGTTGCAAATTAGTTTCCAATTTTTGTGGGCATATAAAGAAAAGCAAATACAAAGTTTGAAGGTTATCAGATAAATGCTTAAGTTAATATACAAATAAAGCTGCTTATTGTTGCAGATGCATCTCGTGTGCATGCATATGCATAATTCTGTTTTTCATAAACCATTTTTTCTTGACTATTTGCAGACGCTGGTTTGCTATCCAAGATAACCAACTTGTCTACCGGAAACGTTCCAAGGACAGCCAGACTATTATGGAAGAGGACCTACGTTTATGTACTGTGAAACCGGCCTTTGAGATTGACCGACGCTTTTGTTTTGAAGTTGTTTCACCTGCAAGGTAAATTATTAATTCAATTGACAGTATTAAAAAAAAAGAAAAAAAAACTATCTGAATCTCTGAGATGAAGAGTTATCATTATTTACACTATTTACATGTAGACTATTGTCCTGATCTTTGTTGTTGTTATCACAATGAGACAATACCTTAGTTCATGAATTTGATGACAGTAATTCTGAGTTCAATTCCTGGGCTAGGTAGGATGTATTTGGATTCAGTGGAAACAGGATGAGTAATAACTGAGCAGTTCTAAAAATATGAACTAGATGAGATATGCCTAGACATGGGCAGAGGAACAGAAACAGTCTACACCTGTAGATTAAATAAAGAGTTCAGTTCAAAATTCCCTGTAGGTTACCCCAATCAATATACACTCTGATGAACGGCCGAAACATTGTGATAATAACAATGAAGATGAAGACAACAGTCCAAATGTAAATGTATGTAAATGGTGCAGCCACTTGTATCCGAGGTTGTCTGTCTACCTGATGTGGGAGGGGGATTAATAATTTTGTTCAACACCCACAGAGCCTGTGGTTTATAGTGCAACTATGATGAGTGGACCTTAGTTACAGTTTTTAGGAAAGTGTGCGTTATCTAACATGATCAACAGTCTGAACAAGGCCAGCACCCTCAAACCATCAGTCACGATGACTTTTGACTTTGTGCTAGCACAGCTGTTGATGACCCCCAGTTTCACTCACAAGGCTTGGGTCAACGCATGGTATGGTTTTCAGACACTTTCCAAAGATGCCACACAATGGGATCATCTCCTCTAGACCGATCCCATCAAGAAGCCACCTTCCTGACAAATCGACCCTGGTAAGATTCGAACCCAGGTCTCGTAGTCAGAAAGCAATAGTTCTAACCACTTGGTCATAGTTTTATTTTTAGTTTATCTATGAATACTAACATCTTTGATTTTATTTATGCTATTTAGTCCAAATGTAAATAGTATAAATAAAATTAAAAATGTTAGTAATCATAGATAAAAATAATTTTAAAAAATAATGAAATGAATCTATTCTATCTGATAAGTCATTTATTTAAATAAATATTAACATTTCTTCTTTTCATATTTAATATAAATATTAACATTTCTGATCTGAAGACAACTAAATATTAATATTCTTTTTATTGATGCATAATGATTATTGACTCACCAGTGTTGAGTCACTTCTGGCCACATCATGTTGAAACACCGGTTCTCGTAATATCACTGAAATTAAACAATGTCAATATCTAGATGATTGACCGATTGGAAATATCAGGTATTGTAAGGTTGAATTTGCAGGTGATGTATTGAATAATAGCTCAGAATTATTAATCGAAGAGCTGAGTTCTAATTCCAGTTGGGTTTGTTATATTCATTTATGCACAAATGTTCTTGAGAAAGGTATTGCTCCATTTCTTCTTCCCAGCTATGGGTTAATTAGCATCACTAAACAATTATCTCCAAAAATAAAATTTCATACAAGATATTTAGATTTCGGCATTAACCTATATAGGTTGATATACTGCTATAATAAAAACAACCAACCAATTTTGAGGGTTGAGTTAAAATGTAGTACAGTTATTCGTTATTGATAGGATCACTATATCTGTGACACTATTTAGCTATGGTAATTGATTAACTAATTAACCATAAAAATTAAACAAGAAAGTACTGAGAATGGAAAAGAAGATACCCTGAGATTTTATTTTTACTTTTAAAAAAAAAAAAAAAAAAAAAGAAAAGAAAACAAGAATTGGTGTAAACAGTGAACTTACAAAAAGGCCATATGCAAGCTTTTGACAATTGATTAATGATGTTTGTAAAAGTACTGGTTAAAGAAAAACCGAGAACAAGATATCATTCAAAATCACAAGATTTTAGAAGTTGACCAGGCGATGAGGCCATATGTTGATTATAAAAATTTTCGCATGAAAAAATATTCCAAAATATTTGCCGATACAGGGATGAGAGAATTACCATTATTTATTTTTCCAAGATATCATATTAAGTATTGGCAAGACAAGGCCACGTGTTGATTATAAAAATTTTGGATGGCAAAAAATGGCAACCTACTGTGGGAAAAAATCTGCCTCGTCAGTCATGTATCGAAAGATACCTGATCGCCTAGGCATGTATCACGCATGGCACATAACTGACTGAATATATACATGAAGTTTCATTATTTCTACTTTCCTTTATTAAGCAACAAATAAACTTGATCTCAGAATAAGATGAAGCCAAATCATTTTCCAATCAAGTAAAATACAATTATAACATTTTTTTTAAAGGACAGCTTATAGAGATAAACTGATGAACCCATGAAATCATGTGGAATATTATGTTAATAACATCTGATAAGAATGAAGGGCTTAGGGCCATATCTTTCATAGATTCTACCTCTAAGCTATCGGTTTATTATATATATGTATATAAGCTAAAAATTAAAGCATGAATTTACCCTATTTGCCACAAAGGATATATTGGAGAAACTGCAAGAAATTTAAATAAAAGATTATATGAATACAAAAGGGATCTTCTCCAAAGATGTAATCAACAATGTACCCAAAATACATATTAAAAAAAATTATTTTAAATTCTCACTGTGTCACTTTGGTCATGTTCATGTGTTGTCACATCAACGTAAACATAAACTTGGTCCAATGAAGTCCTAAAGGACAAAACATGTCACATAAAAACTTTTTCCACTTTGTTGTATTTCTTTCCTCTAAAATTGTTCTTGATACATAAAAAAAAATTATATTGTTATCATATATATATATATATATATATATATATATATATTTATTATGGTGAACACAAACCTCGGGTCTTGGATTTCTTACATCTTCAAATAAATTATTGTAATCATTTCTCATAAAAGAAAAAATTAAAAGCTTAAATTCACCTGATATATTTTTTTCAGGTGGCATAATGGTTAGTGGCTCAGAAAAAGAAATCAGTGATCCCAGTTGAGTTCATTGCATTCACTTTCATGCCAATACCCTTGGGAAAGATATGAATTCATTTCTTTTAACCCCCGCTTCACTCCTAGTTATAGGTTAAATAGTAGAGCAGACTAAGATTTTTAGCCTTGGTTGGCAACCAGACAAAGAGAAGGATTTACTGATTATGGAAACCACAGTAGCAATGACTAGCATGTTGAGAGTTGTGGTCTCATACTTCTGTATGGAGTCTATAAGACTTGATTGAGGGAGAGACTTTTTTTCTTCTTTTTTTTCATATAAATATATCCTAGTATACATTAATACCAATTTTATTAGGAAAACCTTGTCTTTCATGATAAAATCTGACATACTGTATATATCCATTACTCTATGACTAAGCTACAACTGCCAGTGTAACAGAAAATTCAAGGAAATTGACTTTCTTGCTTCAGAATTAACAAATTACCATTTTTCAATAAATCTCCATGGAGCTGACAAGTAGAGTTGCAAAGTGATACCTCTGATTTAACTTCCATTTCACTCTGTTAGTCATCGACTGGGATAGGACAAGAGGAAACAATAAGACAGTATGATTAATGAAGGATAAGCTGGAAATAAACCAGACACAATACACTGAGAGAATGTATGATTCAAGAAAATCAGATAAGATGAATAAGAGGCTGTGTTTCTGAGATCATTTTCTATGCATATGGCTGTACATAAATATTTCTGATTAATGTTCAATGGAAGGTCTGCTCACTATTTACATTATTCAGACTATTGTCCTCATCTTTGTCACCATATTTATTATGTTTCAGCTGTTGTACGCTCCGTCCTTCTTCAAGTGGTTGGAATGTCAAGCTAAACCCTTTATTTCGCTCACTGGGGTAGATTGTTCTAGTTCCACGTGCCATGTCTAATGGATGTCAGTTAGACATAGCATGTGGAACTAGAACAGTCTACCCCAGTGAGCGAAATAAAGGGTTCAGTTCAGCATTCCAACCACCTGAAGAAGGCTGGAGTGTACAACGGCTGAAACATTGTATAATATGGCGACAAAGATGAGGACAATAGTCTGAATAATGTAAATAGTGTACATAATACCTCATCTCAGAAATACAGACAGATACGGAAGTTCTGCTATTTACTTCAGAAAGGTTCCTGCAAGATTAACATGATTATCAGAAGTGTATTAGCTAGATCTGACTTAATGTATTTTACATGTTTTTTTTTTTTTTTTAATCAAGTTCACTCCAAGCAAGGCAGTAAAGCCACTAAGACACAAGGGGTTACTGGGTGTAAAAGAATTAGAAAACAGAAACATTAAGGAGCCAGAACAAAAGAGTAATCAGGAGGACAGTAGATACAGATTGATATTGCATTTAAATTTTTGGACATTAAAGTTGGCTGGGAAACATGGGGCCAGTGGGGATTTCCACAAGCGAGAAGTGTGAGAAAAAGAAACTGTTAGCATAGAACTTAAGGTTACATCTAGCCAACTCAACTTTAAACTGATGAGTCCTCATTAGTCTAGTACTGTGCTTAAATTCAAAAAGTATTGGCTTAAAAATAGAATATGCTGGTGGTGGTGTAATGGTTAGACCAGGAATCCCAAAACATTTTGGCATCATCACCCACTTTCACATGGAAGAATTTTCTACCACCCATCTGTATAGTAAATATTCAAAAGCATACCAAAATTGTTTGGTAAAAAATGACTTTATGAAGTAGTAAAAAAATATCAAAGGGGGATAAAAATATAATGCTACCTATGTGGCAGGTTCTGCTAGTACCATACTAAAGAACAAATGAAAGCAAACTTGACCATTGAAAACACACATATACGCATACACATATATATATATATAAATATATATATAATATATATATATATATATATATAGATATATATATATAATATATATATATATATATATATATATATATATATATATATATATATATATATAGATATATATATATATATATAATATATAATATATATATATATATAATATATATATATAATATAGATATATATAAAGAAATACAGTCTCAAG